CAAAATAAACTTGTACTTCAGTTTTTCTTTAAACTTTCTGAAGTCCCCATCAATACGTGTGTGTGTGTGTGTGTACATATATATACATACATATCAGCATCCTCAAAAAGTTCTTGGAAAATGTGTTTTAGGAAAGAAGTTTCATGGGTTTCAGAAATTTTTACAGCAGGATGAATGTGTACTTTAGTTCTCTTTGTCCATTCATACATGTGAAAACACACACCCAGGCCAAACACCACATACATAAACACTCATGCACACATGTGCTCTCCAATTTCTTCATATAAATACATTCTCCTAAGCAATCTGGACATAGCTTTTAACAGAGCCTCCTCACTCAGCCCTCCTAGAACCTAACCGCCTCTCCTGTGAGATCCTGGGTAGCTTTATTGGAGAAGTCCTCAGTAGAGAAAAGCTGCAGTTTTAATGAAGGATATTTAACAGTCAATCTCAATTCCAAGGAAAAGCAAATCTTTATTACGAGCATCCAATAATTTCTATTCAGGGATTCCCACCCTTGGAATGGATTTTCTTTTCAGGGCCTCTTTTCTAATTAACTCTGGAGCCTAGATTACAAGAAACTGGCCTTATGAATGGAGGGGCACCTCAGCAGAAGTGAGCACTGGAGGTGATGTTTAATTAAAGAGAAGCTGTTAGCGGGAAGAGGCCTGAGCAGGCTGTGGTGCTAATCCTCTCGCCTGCTCCTGCATCCCTGCATGATTGTGATTGATGAGCTGGTCCCCTTACATCTTCATCTGCAGCCGCACTGAGACCCGCAGGCAGAAGGAGCCCCAGCTCTCAGCACACGCGTTGTGCCTGATGCGGTTCTAGGCTTGTAGGAGGGACAGCTGTGCAGTGGCTTTCCTTTCTCTGCCATTTTCTCTCCTTCCTTTCCCTCTTTTATTAGGAATGTGGGTGGGTGGGTAGAAAGCTAGCTAGCTAGATATGTGATATAAATATACTACTATACACAGATATATGAATCTCTCCATAACTGTCTATCATTTTAGTATCTACCTTCCTACCTAGATAACTGCATCTCTGCATACATATGTATCTATCCGTGCATCTGTCTGTCTGTATAAAATCTTGCCGCAAAGCTCAGTGTCTCTGTCTCTCTAAGTCATGTCTGTCTTAGTTTTCTCGCTCTGTCCAGATCTCTCTTCCACCTGCCCTTCTCTGGCTCTCTTTCAGTGTTGGTCCTTTCATCTTTCATAGGGCCCCCTGTTGAGGCACTACTAAGAAACCTCTAACTAGAATCCTTTCTTTTCAGTAGTATTAATACTTGAGTCATTTAGGAGCTACCTTTGGTGAAGCATGTACTGAATGTCTGGAAATGCCCAAGGTCCCTTCTGACTATTATGTAATAATTGTCCTTGTAATAGCTAGTATCTATTGATCTCTTAACCTGTGCCAGGTATAATGCTAAACACAATATGCATTGAGTCTCAGTTCATCTTCACAATAGTCCTTTAGCGTAGCTAGTCTCACTGTTCCCATTTTGGAGATGAAAAAACAGAGGCTGAGAGAGAATTCTGTGTGTTATCTTGGACCCACGTGAGATTTTATTTCTACTTTTTAATGATCGGTGTACAGAGATTTTACAAAATAAATGAGTTTTTCAAGGTCAGAAAACTTCAAAAAATGAAATTTTTATGATCTTACCCTACCTGTGTCTCTCCAAAATGTTTCTTGAATGGATGAGAAGGTAAGTTAGCACCTCCCAGGGTTTTTCCTCTCCTTTTAAAGGTGTGTCCCAGTTGTGTTTAATGGCCCTCTTTGCCTTGTGGCCAAGGGGCTGGCTTTCGACTACAGAAGGCTGCGGAGCCTCTATCAGTCTCTTGAGCCAAAATAAATTGGTAGAAATGTCTGATTTGACTTTTTCTCCTTCTTCAAGGCAGATGCTTTTCTCATTACTGAGAAAAGAATGACACTTTGTCTTTCCAAGAGCTCCAGCATTCATATTAATAGCTGCACCGTTTCTGATCTTGGGGCTGCCAGCCCTGCCCGGCTCAGGGAGGCTCAGTACTCTGCCGGGCTCTGTCCCTGGTGAGATGAAGTTTGCAGAGTTCCCGCTGGGACTCGTGGCCACTCTCCAAAGCAAATGGGTCTGTGATCTTGGTGTTACTGTGTGCAGTTCAATTCTTCCAGCCTGGCTGGCTGGCTGCTTAATCGGAGGGGTTGAGTCTGACATGGAAGGAGTGGATGATACCTATACTCTCCATTTTTATCTATCAACAGGGAAGAATTAAAATGAATGAAACGATAACATTTTTCAACTCTGAAATGAACTCAGGTTAGCAAATTCTACTTTGGAGAAGAAATCGTTAATGAGAAACCAATTTGAAATGATGGTCTGTATGAGTTGATAAGCCCAAAGCTGACCCTGGCTGAAGGCAGTGTTTGGCAGCCTATGATGAACCTCAGATTGTTCATGATCTTCTATCCTGGTGAACCAAGCTTTCCTGTGTCTCAGAGAAGGAGGTCCTGTAACTGTAATCAAATCCCACCTTCCTGCAGAAGCAACTCCTTTTATTCCAAGATTGTTTTGTTCTGGCACCAGATAGATCATCTTTACCATCCTAAGAACCAAGAAAATGTACACCATTTCAGTATCTTATTTGCTGGGAGCATCTGAGTGACATTGTTTTGGTCATCACAACCTTAAGTTGTATAAATTCTGTGATTGGTCAGGAGAGCCATCAGAGGAGATTCTGAGTGTTCTGAGGAATCAAAGCAAGGGTCCATTCTCATAGGATCCCCTATCTCCAATGTGGCTCTGAAGTAAAGTCATTAGCCCTCTCCTCAGGCTGACACAGCTGCCAAATCACAAGATTGGTTCTGAACTCATTTTCTAAACCTCTCACCAACCATCTTTGTCTGGTATGCCACACCTCTTCCCCAGTCTTCTGTTAACACTCCCTATCTGACCTTTGGTTGCCTCTAAGACCTTAATTTCTGCTTTGATATGACTTGCTACATAGTCCTTAGCCTTAATTTGATTTGATATCATAGTAAGTGAGTCTCCTTGGGGTTAGCCCAAAGATCCAGTCTGCTTCAGGGTGCTGCCTTGACTGTAAGTAGCTGCAGCTTTGGAGGGCTGGTCCAGACTGACTAGTGGTGTGGTCTCTGACTCTCAGGATTCTTTTGAGAGATCACATGATCTTCCTCTTGATCTTTGTTGTTGTCATTGCCAGAGGCCTGGGGCAGAGGGAGCGAGGGAGGCTGGGAATAAACACCCCCAATAGCGAGTGGTCATGCCACAGTCCCTCCCCTCTATTTCTCTTTCCTGTTGGGATTTTGAGCACTCACACACACACATGCCCAGTGTATTTTTCAAATAGCCAGGCTGGAATTCAAACCATGGTTGACCATGTGGGATCGGATTCCTTTTAACATCTAGGTATGGCCTTCCCTCCTGATCGTTGAGTTGGAGTTTCTCTTCCCCTGCTCCTCTCTCCCTCAGTTCAAGGCTGTGTTTAATATCAATGTAACTTTGGCGATCTTCTTATTCTTAACAGGTTATGTAGCTTTGGGTCTGTGGTCCATTAGGTCTTCTTGTTTCATTCCCCGATCCCAAAATGACATATTCTAATAGGTCTTATAGCCACAGTGTTTCTGTTCATTCACTTTTTAATTTTAATTTACAACTTTTCCTTTATTCATGAGAAAGTGCATGTGTACACACATGAAAGAGAGAACCCTCCAGTGGAGCCTGGTCACCCTGCCATCCTATTTCCTCCAGCTCTCTCCCTCAGGATCTGGGCATGTGTGCACTCAGCATGCTGTTGCAGAACTGGGATTCAGACCCCAGCAGGCCATGTGTCCAGCTTCCTCTGGACAGAACCTAACCACTGCACTATGGGACCATCCCTCCATTCAGTTTTTAAAATAATAAGTGGAATATCATTTTCTTCTTATTTAATACAAATTTCAGGGGAAGAAATTAATTTCTGTAATGCCTTAACTGTTCTAGCTAATCTCTCACATCAGCTTAATTTTCATCCTACTACTCTTGGTGTGTCCTTTCTTCACCATCCTGAACATTGAGGGAAACTGTCTATGTTACTAATGCCTATCTAAGGAAACAACCCAGTCTCCTTCTTTCATGTTTACCAGCATCTGAACTCTGTGTGTCATGGAGCCAGCTCAGTTTTCAGCATCAAATTTACTACCCCAAAAGGTGAAAACAGGCTCTGCCGTAAATGGGCTACTTAGCGTGATTCTGGCTGCATTCCGCACTTGGCATTCATGACAGATCGAAGCAGGCATAAAACTCAGTTCTTTAAGATTCATTCACCAATCAGAGTATTGTAAAAATTCAAGCAGGAAGAATGCAGATCAAGAGAGAGGAGAGGACTAGCTCCATGGCAGTGGTGTGTGGAGTGAGCTGGATCCCCCACAGCTGGCCTCAGTTCAAACCCCAGCCTCAGGAGCTTGAAAAGCACACTGGGTATGTTTGTGCCTGCGCCCAGGATCCTGATGGGAAGATGAAATGGAAGAAAGGGCACTGCAGCATGACCAGGTCCCAGTGGGGGCATCTCTCTATCTCTGGCACACACATAGACATGTACATACATACACATGCTCGCATGAGAGTAAGGAAGTCTTTGTGTTTGTGTCGGTCCTGAGAAAACCCTGGGATCAACTTTCCTGCCTCAGTGAATGTAATGCTGTGATTGTACTTAAATGACTAGGTGACAGGGCTCAGGCATGTCTCTGTAATCTTCCTTTAATCTCGTTTCCTAGGACTGTCGATGCTCTCGGTGACATAATGGGAGCTGACTGCCACCTACCATAAGGTGCCCTGCCTCACAGGACAGCCACTAACCACATATGGCTAGTCAAAATGATTAAAACGAAATAAAATTAAAATCCAGTTGCTCAGTCACAGTGTCCATCATCCAGGTACTCAGTAGCTACATGTGTCTAGTGTTGCAGTGTGAGCGAAGATCGTCTAGGGGACAGTTGTTTTTGTTTTGTTTTGTTTTGTTTTGTTTTTTAATATGGAACGCTTCACGAATTTGCGTGTCATCCTTGCGCAGGGGCCATGCTAATCTTCTCTGTATCGTTCCAATTTCAAAATGATTAAAACGAAATAAAATTAAAATCCAGTTGCTCAGTCACAGTGTCCATCATCCAGGTACTCAGTAGCTACATGTGTCTAGTGTTGCAGTGTGAGCGAAGATCGTCTAGGGGACAGTTGTTTTTGTTTTGTTTTGTTTTGTTTTGTTTTTTAATATGGAACGCTTCACGAATTTGCGTGTCATCCTTGCGCAGGGGCCATGCTAATCTTCTCTGTATCGTTCCAATTTTAGTATATGTGCTGCCGAAGCGAGCACTAGGGGACAGTTTTCTCAATATCGTCACTGGTGGAACCAGTAATACCCTCCAGTATACCGACATTTTAATCACTGGAACCTGCATTACTCAGTGTGCCAAAAGAGACGTTGCAGATATGATCATAGTCAGGATATCAAAATGGAGAGGTGATCCTCCATTATTCGTGGTCTTAAGATCCTGTTCAAGGGAAGCATAGGCTTCAGGGAACAGAAGGCAAGATGATGACAGAAGAGATTGTAGGAGTGAATTTTGCAGCTGGTCTGAGACCACAAGACAAGGGATGGGGTGGCCATTAGCAGCCCAAAAAGTCAAGGAAACAGATAATCCTTTCAGAGCCTCCAGAAAGAATCAGCCCTGGTGACACCTCAACTTGATTTCCATGAGAATGTCCTTGGATTTCTGACCCCCAGAACTGAGAGAGAATACATCTGTGGTACTTCAGGTCATCAAGTTTGTTTGTTACGGCCACATAGGAAACTCACAGTCGTCATCGTTGTCATCCTCTCCATCCTCCCTTCAGTATCTTCTTCCTTTGATATGACTTGAAGCATTGTAATGATGCATTTCTCCTCAATAGAATCAAAACGATTCCTTAGGTATGTGGCAAGTTTTCACTGGGATATTTGTGCTGGCTTACAAATATTTTCTCCCCTGAGAGTGGTCAGTGGACCTTCAACAGTAGGTCTTGAGCTAACCTATCAGTGAAGAAGGGCTTTTCCACAAATCCTTGCTTTCTGGTTTTTTGGGCTGGGATGATTGTCAGCTGTCATTCTGTCTGGAACACTATGTCCAGGTAGGATTTGGCATTGGCAGACACAGGTGAGCATCTTGTTAGATTCCTTTAGGTGACTCAAAACCAAAGCTGAGCCCAGGACCCTAAAGGCGCAGTTCAAGGAGAACTTTTCTGCCCTGCCCTTCCTACTGTTGGGGACTAGTGTGTTATTTTCTAAGCCCACTGTGTGATCGTGGGTGTGATGAGTCAAACTTATTCTCTGCTCCCTCAACCTGCTCTTTCCTCCCAGGCTGGGTTTTGATGGATTTTTTTTTTTCTGGAAAATTTTCCTTTGCCCAGGGTACACTGTCCTCCAAGTAAATTCTCTTTTAAATGATAAAAACAAAAATAGTACCACAGACAACGCGATTATTTGTCAAATACATGTTGAATGTTTATTTTATGTTAAGCATAGTGATAGGAAATTAGATGTACTACACAATTTATTTTATAAATAGCTCTGTTTAGGGTGTGCTATTTGTATCTCCATTATAATAAGTAGAAGCCAAAGTACAAAGTTACGCTACTTACTTAAGTCCTCAGACCTACAAGGAAGAAAAGCCAGAATTTGAGCAGCCTGGTGACTAACTCAGAAATGGCTTGCATTCTAGAATTCAGAAGAAGATCCCCTTTCTCTGACTCTAAGTTCATTCATGTCAGGAGCCATGCTGTCTTCTTTTACTTTTTTCCTCTTGTCCTCTCAAAGAACCTAGGTCACTTCTTGAAAAGTCAGCAGAACCTGATTGAAATTGCTTATTTCAATGCATGATTGAGGACCAGCTGCAGGGGTGCAGTGGCAATGCATTGCTCCAGAATACAGGGTCTGTATGAGGTTCAGTTTCTGGGGTGATTTATATATGCTGGGCACATGTGTGTCCATGCATGTTCCTGCAGTTCTGGCTGGCTGGGAAGACCACAGGACTGGGGATCCTGGTGAGGATCTCTCTCTTTCTCTCTCTGGAAATAAATATAACAACAAGCTTACAAAAAATAAAACGTAGGGCCAGCCTTGGCATGGTGGTTGAGGTGCCTGGATCCCACATAGCTGACTCTATGGTTTGAGCCCCATACCTGGTAGCTTGAAAAATTAGGCCAGGTGCATGTGCATGCATGCCTAAAATCCTGAGAGGAGAACAGAGGAGAAAGGATTATGGAGTGATCATTCCCCCCGCAGGGTGATTTCTCACTTTTCCTCTCTCTGTCTCTCTCCAGTGAGCACACATGCCTTATGGCAAAAACTTAAAGGAAGAAAGATACACCAGGTGTGTGTGTGTGTGTGCCCCAAATCCCAGGAAGATAAATGGAGAAGGGATTGTGGTATTACCATGCCCTGTTGGGGGGGTGCTTTCTCTTTCTGTCTCTGTCTCTCTTTCTCTTTTTGATGATCACACACACCCTCTGGGAATTAAAATATTTTTAAAAATCAGTTACATTGCGAACCAGCAGGTGGTGGAGTGGTTAAGGGGCTGGACTCCCACATGGCCGACAGTTGTTCAAGTATCAGACCTGGTGGCTTGCTTTCTCTCTCTCTCTTTGGTAAGTGCACATGTCCCATATAAAATTAAAAATCAATAATAATAATAAAATTAAGCAAATTATTTTTTAAAAACAGTTACTTTGCATGGCAGAGAAGGTTGAGAAAGGTAGGGTTAGAGCTATTGCTATCCTTATGGAGGCAAAGTGATCATCTTGCAAGTGATCCTGTTCTTGTGCCTGCCGCCTTCTCCTCCGGTCGACTCTGCCATGTCCCTCGTACAGGAGCACAGTCCCCTCTGATCCTCATGCCACGTTTCTGCCCTTTCTCATCTTCAGTCCATCAGCCACTTATGGCAAGAGTGGTCTTTCTGAAATGCAGATCTGTCCATGCTATCCCCATTCCTGGAATTCTTCAATGCTTCCTATTACTTAAAGGATCAAATCTAAACTCCTTCTGCTCATTTTTCTTTGTAGACTCTCAACCTTATTTATTTATTTTTTTAGAGGTTTTTGCTATAGGGTGCGTGCGCTCACCAGACAGAGACAGAGAGACAGAAAGTGAGAAATCACCCCCCAGAGGGGATGGACACGCCGCAATCCCTTCTCCTCCATTCTCCTCCCAGGATCTTGGGCATGCATGCACATGCGCCCGGCATGAGTTTAAGCCACCGGGTCCAGGACTAGAACTGCGGTCAACTACATGGGAGTCCAGGGACATACACTTACTGCTGGTCCCTCTCAATCTTATTTTTGAGCTTTAATTTCTAATAGATCCCCACTGTACATACTCCAGGTGCACCACTCTGCTCATGTGGGCCCGGATGTTTCTGCACATGGCTTACCTCTCCTTTGGATTCACACCTAACTCACTCCAACTTCTCAAAATTCATCTCAGTGACAACACCCCATAAGAAAGATTCTATACCTTCTATCTCTTAATTGGGAGCCTTTCTCCTATGATAATGTGCATTTATAAAATCCATGACACTTGTTCTGACCATTGCTTTTCCTGTACCTGCCTTTATAGACATCTCCATTTTCCTGCCTTTATTTTATCCTGCCTTTAGTTTAATCTCCATTTGAGAAGGAACTTCATTTCTGAATGTATTTTATATTAATGCAAAAACAAATACTTACCCTAAGCTTACCAGGGGTCAAGCACAGTACACAGAAGTATCCCTAGTGTGTCTCTTAGTGTACCAGGGGTCAAGCACAGTACACAGAAGTATGCCTAGTGTGACTCTTAGTGTCTATCTAAACCATAGTAAGGAAAAAGATCTTAGAGAATTAGAGCAAGAGGATTGTGGTGTGATTAGGCCCCACTGAGGTTAGATGTTGCTTTCTCTCTGTCTTATGTGCATGGACACATTCCCTCTGGCAGAAAGAAAGAAAGAAAGAAAGAAAGGAAGGAAGGAAGGAAGGAAGGAAGGAAGAGAGAGAGAGAGAGAGAGAGAGAAAGAGAAAAGAAAAAGAAATATATCTTGAATGAATGAATGAATGCAAGACATCCCACCATATGTCTGTGAGATTTAAAGAACTAGTTTCTTTCTGATCAAATCCAGTGGATAACCTTGTAGAGTGGGATCTAACTCTGAATGTCTGCCGATGCCTTGAGCATCCTGAAAGCTGGAACGTGTTCAAGGGCTCTTTTCTGACCTCACACAGTGAACGTCTGAGCTCTGTGGGCTATTTGTAGAGAGTTTATTTCATCTTTGCAGAAAGCTGCCCAGTATAAATATTAGTCAGTTGATTTCACACAGAGTTAAAACAAGCTTTTAAAAGCCTTTTACCTCTCCTGTCCCCAAATAGGTACTTTAGACAGATTCTCCGAGTCTTGGGAGCTTTGTCGGATTTGGTAAAGTAGAAGTTATGTTCTGTTCCGAAGCATCCTCTGTGACTGCTGTCTTGGGGTTGAAGCTGCAATTGAGCAGAAAGGGTCAAGTAAACTGGAGAATTTTAAGATGACCAAGGAATGGAGGTATAGGGATCAAGCTTCCCTGGTCTGAATACATCTCCAGGAATCTGTTTCTGGAGATGTTCCCCTTTGGTGTCAAGGTGGTAGCTTGGTATTGAGGAAGAGCAGAGGTTTCAAAGTCTGAGTTCAATCTCAACTCAGTCAGTGGAAAGCATGGGTGCAACCCAGGCTCTGAGACCCCTGGGCAAGTGGTATAACTAGCACCATCCAACAGAAGCATAAAGTGGGACACCAATATGGGCCGTGTGTGTGTGTGTGTGTGCATGCGTGTATTTAAGTTTTTAGTAGCTATATCAAACAAATTAAAAAGAAATAGAATTGATTGTTCAACTCCATATATACCAATGTATTCAAATTATTATTTCAATGTGAAATCAAAATAAAAATATTGTAGAGGTATTTTGGGGGCCAGATGGTGGTGTAGCAGTAAAGCAAATGGATTCACATGGGAAACTTCTGTGTGTGTCCATGATTAGGGCTGGCTGAGCCTGGGGGTAGATCATGGCATGAAGACCCTGTGGTGCCTGTTCTTACTCTC